CCTACACGACGCTCTTCCGATCCCCCAAAACCCCAAAACCCCGAGAGTTTAAAAGCATCTTTAAAGTGAAAAAGAGAAAAATTAAACGAGCAAAAATAACATTATATTTTAACTTAGAGAATTTAAATGAAAAACTTAACGGCGAGCCTTTCAACAAACATCAACTCAAATAATCACTCTTAATCAATTACTCATGCTCCTATATAGAATAACCTGTAGAAGTATATATCTATCAGTCAGAATCACTCTAAGAAAATGCTACAGCCAAACTCATTAAAATCTTCGACAAATAATCTATCAAATTGCTTCACTAATAATTTAAATAATAATGACTCTTCTAGAGAGTAATAGCAATCATGAAAGAAAAATTATATCATAAGTACTCAGAACATACCACTTACATAGAAATAAATACCAAGCACCTGCCAAACACCATAAATATCAAGTAGCCAGAACAATCATTTAGCTGGAATTTATAGTTCTCTGTAACCTTTAAGTGCCAGAAATAACTAAGTCTTTGATACTAATGCGATTACAAATGCGGCAAATACAGGGTAATCTGCTAAATAATAAACACAAGAGAATCAAAATTAGCACTTTTAAAGTAGAAATAAAGACTCAGGACCATTAATTCAATCTAAAACATAAGCCTTCACCTATAGACTATTAGAAAGGAGAAATAAAAGTCACTATAGAAAATCTCAGAGCCCTCTATCAAGGTTTGTTTCAGAAAATATGCTTCTTACAAATAGAGATGCTAAGGAAGTGTCAAAAAGATTTAGCAAACAATACATAATAGGAAATTCCTAAGGAGTTGAAAAATAATTGAGTCAACCATCTACAATAAAGATGTAAAATACCACCAATTTTTCATCATAGCTGTAAAATGGAGTATTTATTACTCAAGATAGTAGAAAAAGCTAGAACTGCTAAATGGAGAAGAAATCACCTTCGCCAATGGTCAAATAAAAAGAAGTTTCTGAACCAATAAATATGAATAATATCTAGAACTCTCGAAATACATAACTGAAGATATTGGAATCTTCTAGAAACAGGTCCATCAAAAGATAAAGAGAACCAAATCTAGTTTCAAGCTCTTTACCTACATAAAAAAGCATTTCACCTGTCAGAAATATCATTCTAGTAAATCAATTTAACTAAGTTAGAGCATAAAGTCAATAATCAATTAATAAACCACAAGCGTAAGCAATAATGTTTAACTAAAAATCTTAAAAACCTAAAAAGATAAAGTAATCCATGCTTATTGAATAAAATATAAATCCTTTGCAAAGTGTTCATGTATAGTCAAAACGACAGAATTAGCTTGTATCTAGTTCTACTGATACAATGCAACCTAAATAAACACTGGCTGAAGACCAAATAAAAATAAAAGATACCTAATTTTTACAATTTTCATAGTTCCAATAAGAGTTAGAGTGCATAAAAATTACTCATAAAAGTGAAATTATTGACTTGAAGAGAAAATTAGCAGATTCAGAAAGAAGGCTTGTTTAAATATGGGAGCATATTAAGGAATAAAATCGCAGATCAGATTAAAAGCTGAATGATTTCCAGTAGCTTGTGCTATAAATAATCAATCAATAGTGTAGTAATAACAATAATTTGAATATTAATCTTGGCTATAACAGTGCAACTAATCTTAACAATAATCAACTATCATCAATACTTTAAATTTAAGACCAATCAATTGACTAAAACTCAAAAGTAAATTTAGTCGGACTTCTCCAGCAAAAGGCTAGTATGGATTCAGGCTAGAACATCTTGGATACTTTCAATAATGGTGAGTGCAACAATAACCAAAATGAAGTTAAAAAGAGACCAGGAATAAATTGCACCTTCCTAAAACCAAGTGAATCATTAGATCATTAAAATCAGATGGTTCTAAATCAATAAATGCAAGATTAATAGGAGAGTGATTTCATAAACTAAAAATAGATGTAGTAATAGTATTCAGAGCTTTCAAGTTCACTAATAAGTTAGTATGAAACAAATTAAGTTAAGACTAAAATCATAAATACAAACCAAATATAACAAGAAATACCATTCAACCAAAATGACAGATACTCAACATCAGTTTTTGGAACAAGTGATCTTGTTTAAAGACCATCAATTCCATATTTAGAAATTGAAGAAGAAATTTAAGCAATGATGGGCAACAGTAAGTAAGACATAATTAGAGTTTCCTCAAATATAAGATCCTGCAGAGAAATAATGAAACTTTAGCAAAGTATTCCAAGCTAAAAGCAATTAGTTACATTTGAGAATGGATCTTAATTTAGAGTAACAGAATAAGTATAGAATTTATATGACGAGGAGGAAGAGGAGTAAAATGATTCAAATCTCTATTCGATAAGCAATACTACTTGCTACGTAAGAAATAGATCAAAGGTGCCACTTGTAAGTGCAACCTAAAATCTTTTACAAGATTGGAAAAGTAACATAGATCAAGTTTTCTCTGAGATAAACTAATAAAGATAACTTAGAGAATAAAAAAGGAATCAATAAACTCAGCCCCCTACCCCAATTCAAGATTTTCATACAATGCATGAAATGCAATAGATGTAATATAGGCAACTTAGATAAAATAATGGAAGAGTTTAATCTTAAAACTATAATAATATTGGTAATGGTTATGGAATGCTGGAGCGAAAAGAAAACTCATCATAGTCAAGTAGCTACATCAAATTTGAAGACCCAGATACTGTGTCCAAACTTAGATAGCTGACTAAAGAGATATGCAAATCGGATTCAAAGGTTCCTTCCTTTCATTCTCAATCTAATAATGAGCTAAAGAGTTTTTCTAATAAAAAAGACAGAGACAGCTTTGTACAGATGAAATAAAAAATGAAGAAAATAGAGCCATTGAATAGCAGGAATCCTCATCAAAACTACAATAAAAATATTAAATCAACTATTAATAAAAGTAAGATGATTTCAAATAATTAGAGTAAGGAGAACTTAAATAATGATAGTCGTGTTTCAAGCTTGATGGATTCTGATAAAATTAAAATTTATGAAAGCGTAGCAGCAGAAAAATTAGCTGTTCTTGAATCAATAACTGGATAGAAATTAAATTAAAATTTGCATAACTAGGTTCAAGAGTTGCTCTAATAATCTATTCAAAGTTAACTAGGCTGTAAAAATGGAAGGTAATTTATGATTGATGCTAACTGGTTTTTGCATTGGTATTAATACTGCTCTGGATCAAATAAGGAAAAGCCAGGGTTTATATAAAACAAGTAAACATTAATGTTTTTGATGACTATACTTATAGAAATTTAATGGATAAAAGATCTGGTTGTATTAGGTAAGATCTTGTTCTGAATTTAGATTACTTCTTAATAAATGAGGAGACTTGGCAGATATTCAAATAGAACTATGATGCTGACTATCAAATTATGATCTATGATAATCGTCTTTGTAAGTTACTTAACTATATTAAATCTTTTTTTTCCAGATATTTAACCTATAAGTAACTAGGTTGAGGTCGAAATTGTAAGTTCAAATCAATACAACTCTAAATCATCACTCATGGAGATACCTAATGAATACTCCTCATTTAAATAGATAAATGGCTAGATTCAGAAAACAATGCCTTAAATTGAGAGAGATAGTGAAAATTAGAGCGATTTGATAAGATACTAAATAACTGAATAGGATGAAGATGAAGAAGTAATATTCGTTGAAGGTGGTAACAAACTTTCTAACTATTAAAGATCACTTGTTAAATCCATTGCCAATTAAAACAATAATAGAGTTCTAGAAACTAATCAATAACTCTCAAATAATGCTAGTAGTATAAATAGTAAAGCTTCTAATAACAACATATTGAAGTATTTAAACAAGAAAAGTAATACAACATAGTCTTAGAATTCAATAGTACCAGTTCCATCAGCAAAGAGTAAACTTAACAATGAACTTAAAAGCATAACATAATTAAAGAATTAAACCCTTGAATCAAGTCCTTATGGATTTCTTAATAATTCTAAAACTTAAGAGAGAATAGTGATATAGAATCAAATTAGCAAAGAGATTTCATCTCTCGCTAGTGCATACTCACTAGAGCAAAGTTATAAATACAGAATCAGCAGTGATCACAGCAGTAGTTTTAATTAATGAGAATCAGTAATAAATTAGCCAAATTATATATTGATTTATTTTCTTAAAAACAATAGTGATTTAATTTATTGACTTTAAATTTCAACAATGTGGGGTTTTGGGGTTTTGGGGTTTTGGGG